ATAAAGGAAAAAAAAAACCTGCGGAATACTATCGCTAGTTAGACCGCCATTATTACCACCTCTACTCACTTTCTTCACTATAAATTCATATACACTCTGCGATTTTTCTACTACACCGTTTTGTAGCAACGTTATCGTGTTATATTAAGTTATACTAGACGTCCAAAAATGCAAAGTGATGTGCAAAACATTCGACCTCAGTCGGTGGATGTTACCCTGTTTCACCCATGCGGGAGGCATCATATATATATATATATATATATATATATATATATATATATATATATATAATATATATATATATATATATATATTGAATCGCATGATAGCACATTATTTTTCAGTAATTTCCACAAGATCTTTATACCTTTCCCACATTCAAAAAGTCTGTTCATAAGCCGTATGGTTAGCGAGTTACCGCCTATTTGGGCTCACGGTGCTGAACATTTCAGATTAAGATAGACAGACAGGAGGCTTATACATTTTGAGATCTCTTCAAACCTCAGTGAGTTTTTTATCAAGTTGTTCATGGGACGATATGGAGCGATATACATGCAAATGCTGATCGCTTTAAGATGAAGCCCTCTGTTAACGATGAAGACAAATGAGCTCTACAATACTTGTCTCATAGTGAGATTTCATCTGCAACTCAATGTGTTTTCAAAAGAGGTGTTGAGTTTCTGCAGTTGGATCACAGATCTTACTTCGGTTCACTGAATGACATTTTTTGTTCAAAACTAGTGCTGAACCTGCAATCTTCCATTCCTACATGTAATTTACGCAGCAATCCTTTTTCAAGCACTGTACTATCATATTTTTCTTACATTGCTTTTCACATAATTTTCCTACGGATACTTAAATATTGTATGCATTTTCTCGCTAGTTTTAGGGAATAAAAATTGAGACATCAAAGTAGTATTTCTCATGTCATTATTTATACTATAGTTGGTTTATGAAATACAGCTATGTATAAAAGTTGTCTTTAGAAGGCAGAATAAAGCAGATGATGAGGGTAGTTCTTACTTGCTTGATGTGTCGATAAAGTTTTTCGTTCGCTCAAATAATACAGAACTGTTCGAAGATGTTCACATCAAGCGTCTCGAAACTAACTCAGGTAAGTAGGTAAGGTCTTCTCATAAGTTTTGGCACTAGAGCAAAAGCGACTACCTTACGCGCAAGTCACCGCTGTAGCTTTCCTTTATATTTTACTCATTTATGAACCCTTCCAACGGCTTTGCTCACAGGGCAACTCACGGAGTGGTGGCGCGCAGAGGCGGGACTACCGATCACGTTTAAAATATTATTATTCAGCAGGAATTTCTCTACTGCATCGACAGAAGCTATAGGTAAAAACGTAGGATTTGATGGTGCAGAAAACCCTCTACAATCTGGTTATGCGCGTGATAATAATGGAGGCGAAAGATGAGTGTGAAACAAAATTTATTGTGGATGTGACAGTGTTATTGAAGGGTGTTTTGAAAAAGCGGCTATGTATGTTGTCACCAAAGATCCAGGCTTTCTGGTGATTATTAACACTCCTATGAAAAGTTCCTGGCCAGCGAATAAGGCCGGCTTGAAAATCTGTGGCCACCTAACATATAAATACCAAGTTTAGTTCAGTGAAATATAAGCGCGATAGTAAGGAAAGCAAGCGGCCCGTGCAAAACATATTCCACCTTGACTTCTGAACAGACGAAATAAGGCCTTTTTGGACAATCAAATACATTTTTCAACTCTCTAGAGTTCGCGTTTGGTAAATGGATCATAATAAGTTGGAATTAAATTTTTGCCTAGCAAAATATAAGCGGTATCATATTGGCCCGCCATATGTGTGATACATAATCTTATTTTGAATGATAAAACACCGTTAGAAGGCGCTTTGAGAAGAAAAGTGGATTTAACAGTTTCCAGAGATTTTGTGTCAGATTATATTGTTCCTGAGGCAGGTAGCAAAATAGTCAATTGAAAGGTTTTTTGCATATGTCGACGACGCCATATCGACAATCAATCGCTATGAAAGAGCGCCACGGTGATTTTTTTCACCGTACGTTGAGTGCAAGAAGTTTGTCGTCGTTTTCATTCTACAGAGGTAGAATTCCCGAGAAAATGACTGAACGAAAAGGCACCGTGCAACTGAACTGACGAGCCTGGAAAGCCGATACACTTGCATTGCAGTGCATAAGTGGCAGTAAGAGACCTTATAAGAGGCTCAAAATACATTGTCAAAAATTGTTTTATCTCAATTCGTTATGTTAGAATGTACATTGTCAGGAAGTGTTCTATCGTAATTTTGTTATGTTAGAAAGAGTTGCCCAGCTGGAAGCGTGGGACGTTTGCTTATCTTTTTCAAAGTGAAAAATTGAAACATCGCCAACGCAGTAGAATCGTTAGCTTTGTTATGACTCTTTATGGGCGAAGTGGAGCTGGATAAGCATTTACGTGACTAATTACTTCCGTGTTGTTGTAGTTCCTTGTTGTTTAGCTGAAATGGTGAGCAAAATGCAGTTTCGCTTTATTAAAGACTGTGTGGACAGTATTGTTTCACAACGTTATTCCACACAGACTGATGTGTCGTAGGCGTTAGGCCACTTAAGCGTTGCCGAAGTTCAGCATGAAAGGGCAACTCTGGGCACACATTTGTTCTTACGCTGTTTCAAGCAACTCGATTTGTGTCAATGTGACGGCTGTGAAGACCAACATAGCCTAAAGAATAATAACTGCAGAGACTGACTTAATTTATCGTGTCTTTGATGAAGACAGACTGTCAAAGTACTAGCCAAATAAAGTTGCGTAACAGTCTTGTGAATGCTCATCATTTGAACAAAACACTGTCCGTCTATGGTAAGGTTCGACGGAAATCGAAATTGCGCATTCCTTGTTTTTCGGAATAAAATGGCGCAAAATATTGACAAGCTCAATTTTATGATTTCAGCCGCTCGAAAGCACAGGAAATGTTCGCTCACATGGATATCGCTCATTTACACTTCCATTTCCATCATCAGACAGTAAAAGAACTAAACGGTTTTTTCATAAAACTGATATTCAGATAAAAATTGACGGTCGACAATTAGACCATCTTCTCATCGCTGATGATGCATCAATCATCAGCCAAACGGAACAAATGTTGACCGAGTTTGACAACGCGTGCAGAAAGATTAGTTTTCAACTGAATCAAACGAAAACGATGTTCATGAGGAATGGATGGGTGTTTAATGCCCCACTGACGCTCAACAAAGCGTATATCTCCGAATGCTCCAGTTACATTCATCTAGGTCCTGAAATCCACATGATGAACGACCTAGCTGCAGAGTTGAGCAGGATTTAAGGAGCGGCTTGGGGAACGTTTAAAAGCATTAATGATGTAGTGAAGAGAATATAGAACATTCGACTCTGTACACACCTTTTCGACTCGACGATTATCCATGCCCCAACTTATCCAGCAGAAACCTGGTCGCTACGTAAGCAGGATGAAAGATCACTTTGGCGTTATTGGACGCGCAGGGGAAGAATCGATGCTAGAAGTATTCCGAAGTTCCGACCTACGTCAGTGATCGAAGATCAAAGACACTTTTCTACACACCAGGATATCAAAAATAAGCTGAGCCGGGCACGTGATGCGCTTCAACGACAGCCGATGGACGAGAGCCGTTACCGACCGGATTCCTAGGGACATCAAGCGCTCTACAGGAAGACCGCAGACCCGATGGCTCGATTTCTTCACGAAAAGACTAAAAGAGCGATATGGTGCTCGATGACTCCCTTCTGGCTTTTCTTTGAAGAGTGATTTATAGATAGTTCATTTTAGAATAATCATCCGACTGCTTTGAATGGGCAGAGTGCTTGAATGTCTTGTCGAAATATTTTCCAATCTCATATATCATCGATGAAATTTGGAATAGAGATAAGTGGTAGATTTGTAAGTGATGGGGCAGCGCAAGTGTTATCGTGCTGCTTTCTGAGCTTTTTATTTTTTTTTAGGTTTAGAGGCTCAAAGAGGTAGTCTCATGCCTTGTAAAAGTGCTCAAGTATTTTTTTCTATGTTCACTTTGATGCCTTGCCTCTGATTCACTGATGTTGGAGTTTGCAGTTCGAACCTGTTCGTAGAATATATACAGTGCTGTCTGCACTTGGTTTAGGTTTTTAGATAGCCAAAATCGCTTGTTTTCTAGCTTCTTTTCGTGTGGCGTGTATTCTGCTTGTCAAGATTCGTCACGGAGGTTGTCTACTGTATTATAAACCTAATTTTCGCAAATGTCAAATGAGGATTTCAGGCGATTGACCGCTTTCGTTAATGTCTCCATGCGTGAGGAAAGGGTGTTTGACATATTTTTCTCATATTTGACATATAACTTATATGAAAAGTGACGTACTTGAAGGGAAGATTTTCGTCGTGAGGTTGTCCGCGTTGTCTCTTGATTCGTCGAGCATTAGTTGCTTCCTTGAGATCGAATCGGCTGTTTTAAAAGAATATTAGAATTGAAGCACTAATTGACTTTTCCGATGAGCCAAATACCTCAGTTGGTGCAATGGAATGGTAGAGTGATGGCGTCGATCGGTTTTTTACGTTAAGTTCGACTCCGGTTGACCAACGGACCAAATCTGTGGTAAACTAGATCGGCCAAACTGCAGAAGTAGATAATAGAGAATGTCGTATCCTATTTTGCTACGGAAGACCTATGCACTAAATATATGGTCGAACTGGTCAAAGTAGATATAGAGAGTAGCTGATATATTGTATTAGGTTTCGCTACGAAAGGTCAATGCATCAAATGTATTGATTGAACTAGCCAAATTGTATGAGTCGCAAATAGCAAACGTCTTATTCGAGTTTGATACGAAAGGTAAATATACCAATTTTATGATTAAATTGGCCGGTTGTGGAAGAAGGGGGTACTTTTTCCCATACCCCTATCCAGTTTTAACCCATTCCAAGGAACGTATTTTTGCTCTTTTTTGATGTTTCGTAAATACTCAGAATTGAGTAGTGAGCAAAAAAAAGTGGCCTCAGCCAAGAATCGAACCCGTGTTTCATCCATACAGGGGGCGAGTGCTATATCATTACACCACCAAGGCGCAATTGCATCATCACTGATTCTTCGACATCTCTACGTTAGCTATCAGCCACCAACCTGAATAGGTTTTGTGGGGTATGCGACTTCGTCCTATAAACCCACTTGAGCTGACAGCCATTCTAGTAACTAATGCTCGATATTTCTAGTATTTCAACTGCATTTTTCGCAGTGCGATGATGTTATGATGTTATGTAGTTCTTCTCACCACTCAATTCTCTTAGGTATTTACGAAACATCATAACACTGCGATAAACGCAGTTGAAAAACTAGAAATTTCCTTTTTTGATGTTTCAGTCATTGTTCGGTAGCTTAAGTCGCAGTAATTTGAATACTCTACCTTATTTTCCAAATGGATTTGTTATCCGCTAAGGGACGACGTGTACCAGCTCAAGTACATGATTGTTTGAAGGCCTTTCTCACTGCGAAAAGTTTTCTCTCAGACATTTGGTAATCACTCGAAAGCTTAATTCTCAGCAATTCCAAAACCTGCTTAGCTTCAGAAAAAAAAACTTTTTATTACGCTGTAACAGTAAAAATTAAATTGTTCTTCACACTCAATTTTCTTCATTTGTTCAGGTGGAGCCGCTATAGGGCCCTTCACCAAATTTTAATATACATTAGTCACCCAACTCTCGAAAATTCTGGCAGTGAAACTGGTTTTTTGAAGTTGCCATATAACACCGTTAGAGCTAAAGGATGATCACATTCACGCCTAAAATGCTAGCCCGCCGCTTGAACGTCATAGGTGGTTTATTGGTGATTTTAGGTGAAGTTTATGAATCAGAGGTGTCTAATCGATACATAAAGGATGGAATATCACGAATGAACAATTCAAAGAGTGGTTACTCCTTTTGAAATCCTTCATTTTTCAGTAGTAATACCGCATCCTTGTATGAAAAAAAATTTTCAACCCATATTCCGCGTTTGAATCACCTGCCTTACGAGAACGTAGCTTGAGAACACATTCTCTACAACTAAACATCTCTAATGAGGTTTATGTGGAGGTATTTCTATATGTAACTTGAGTATGTGTAGGAAGAGCGCGCGTTCATCATTGCGCATAATGCGTTACTTCCCCTATCAGCATACATAATCGAGAAAACGCATTTTTCGCTCTTTGTAGACAAGCAGTTATTCGATAGCTTAGATCTCTAAGAATTAAAAGATATACAATATATTTTAGAAGGTCCGTGTATTGCACTGTAACAGGGAAAAGAATATAATATTTAACACTTGAGCATCTTTCGATGAGCAACGTTTTTCCTCAAAAAATTCAGCAGTTCCTAGACAACACAAATCTCGGCAAATTTAACTTAAAATTTTAAAGATATGCTCTGTTTTTAAGAGAGGCTTCTTATGAAGGAAGTCTGAGGTAAATGGAAGGAAACAAAACACTACTTGCTTCAACGCAACCTAAAGTGTCATGCTCTTGCATTTTTTTTTATAGCTAAAATCGATATTGTGCGAACAAAAGTGCAAAAAATACGTCTCGCAGGTACCTAAAATTACAATTTCGATTCGATGGAATGTTAAATGCTGCTTTACGTTGCCACAAAAAAGTTGTAAATTTCACAGGTTTCTTTTCAATTAATGAAGTTAGCTGTGAAATTAAATGTGTTGGTCGACGGTGACCGTTGTTTTCACATTATGCGCATTAGAAACGATGCGCATCACCGTGCGCATGTCAGTGATGAAAAAAAGATGTGATTTTTACTATAGTGGATGTGGAGACTGTATCCGTACACTTGAATACTTCGTGGTGATTACTTCCAGTTTTAGGCATTATTATTTACTTAGGTACTTAGATGGTCCGTCTTCACTAGCCATGCGAACCTCTGCACAAATTCCAAATGCTGTATTGCTGGTCGTGCATATGATATTTCTTGGTTTCTTGACGTAAAATTGCCAGGGCGCTTTCAGTTCTTCACTATGCCGTTTCCACGGAATGGATTTTAGCAATGGATCCTTAGACGGGCTTCCTACTTGTTGATTTGGAGATGATGTTGGGCCGAAGTCAAAAGTAGAAGTAGGAAAGAAAATCAACCGGCCACTCACAGGTGACGTGAAAGCCGAAACCCCATTAATATCTAAATGTCCAAATATTCCAAATTGTATGATGCTTTAGATATGCAGTGTTTAGCAATGTTCACTTGTAAGAAGCTTTCGACTCTACTGAATGGTAAATAATTGATTGTACACTGCTTTTGTGAGCAGAAATAAAAAGGACAATTTTGCTATCAAGGAACTCTAAGAAAGCACATAAACCATGGGTTAATCACAACTTATCGTATTCAAACGACTGCTGCTGGCCTAGCGTAAATAGCGAAAAATCAGCTTGTGGAAAGGTTATCAGTTAATTCCTGCAAAATAACGTTTATTGGATTTGATTTTACTGTTTACATACTAACGCTACCAATCTAGTGGCTTTTGTGGATGAAACAAAGTTAGCCATCTGTTCAGCCTTTCCTGAGATAATGTGACCTTATCGTGATCTCTTCTTTTTCTTGACAAGCTTTAGGTAATAGAGCCGTTATTTTGCATTGCTAATGCGAAGGAGTGTCATTTGGATTTTATGTGTAAGGAAATGAACAGCAGCACTATCACTTCAATTTTTTTGATGCAGCTGAATTACGAAAACGAGGTGTCCCATTTGGTCCTCATTATTATATCGAAAAGATATAATTAAAGTTAGCTTGGCCTATAAGAGGGCATGTGGCGCAGTGGTTACAGGAGCTCTGTGTCGCCTACGAGGTCACTGGTTTAATCTCGCGCTCATGGCTTACCAAGCCGTCCATCCTTTCGGGGCCGGTAAATTGGTATCAAAGTGGTCTCAGACATGTCTGCGAAGATAAACAGTACTGACTCGGTTCAGTGATAGGTTACCGCGAGTTATTGTAAAGGCCAGATATGCATTCAATCACTTCAAGACGAAGTAAAAAATTGAAAGCGAATACATGGCACATCCTCAGGGATTGATGAACGCCGAGAGATTTGTCTTTTTTAGCTTTGACCTATTTAATTTACGCTTCAAATACGCGATATTGTTCACATCATATCATACATTGCAGTTGTGCTGGTACTAAGGCTTTCAGTCTTTTCTCGAAGCAATTTCAATGACACGATGATTAGCATCGATGGCAAACAGTTGTTGTGGATCTTTATAGTTCAATAGAAAAGAGTTGTCTGGAGTGAGAAAACAAAGGAACTTTTCAGGAATAGAGTTTGCTCACTAAGTAAGGTCTTGTCACGGAAAATGGATGCTGAAGGTGTTCATTTCGATCCTTTTTTGCATAACGGAATGAATGATACAGAAGATCAATGTATGCCTACCAGGAGCATCGGATGGTGGCTGGAATAAAGCTGTGAAGATAATGTGAAATCGGCCATTATCATTGTTGGTATTTGACCATTTGCAAAATCTACATGCAGGTAGAATTTGATCATTTTTGAATCATCGCCCTGTTCAAGTTCTGGCATTACTGAGGACTTTTCTTGGTGCACACAAATTATATTGTAACAGTCTACCACTCGTTTGCCATTTTCAAATCAAATGTGTTAGTCCCCTTGAATAAGTGCGCAATTTGTCACAGCTAATATAATTTATGCTGCCTATATATAGCACTTTCCGTAGTAATTACTATTAGTGTTCCGTCGTGGTTGTTGTTGTTATTTTTACTGTTGTTATAGCTGTTTCACGACTCTTTTATTGTGGAACAAGGAGATCCTTTGACGATTTTCAGAATGACTATTCTGTCGCTCAATGTTACTAGTCAGCCTTTAATCAGCCCTTGACCCTACATCTTGACCCTACATATCTCAACATCGGCAATCGTTTTTCCTATTATATCTAAACATTCGTCAACATTTTTTCATGTAAAGAAATTCTCTCGCAAAAGAAATTAGCTCAGGCGAGAGGTACCGTGGCCACTAATGAGGCTGCACGCAGAAACACGTGGGTTGCACTGTAGAAATGCCCATAAACGCATCACATGAATGGCTCAAAAATAATTACCATGCATATATCGGAACACTTCATTTTTTCGTAGAATGCACATTTGTGCAGCGAATGTCATTGAAAGAAAAGAATTTATCGCGAAATATTTGGATGGGATTTTCCTGGCTACTTCGACAAGTGACAATGCATTACCACCTGCCAAGTCGGTTGCTGACTATGGCTTCTTTGTTGCTGCTCTAGAATCTTCTACGAAATGTCGAGTAAATTGCGCAGAGAGCGATCAGAATGAGTAATTCTACGAGATTTTGCTTTGCAAAGACTTAGATTTGATAGCAATAATTGCTTGTGTATATTAATTTGCATATGCGGGTTTTTTTTTCTCATGCTTCTCATAATGTGTAGCATTCTCTCAAAAGGCAAACCATGTGGGCGGTCATCGCGATTTCAGTGCTAGAACGATTCCCTCAACTCGTGAACAATTTTTCACATGGAATTCGACTTCCTTATTGCCGTATCTAAAAAGAGATATAGAATTGAGATCTTCCATTTGAGAGGTGCTAGACTAAAAAAGATTCGACTGGAATGATAGTGATGAAGAAGATCCACTGCAAGAGCGAACATCTGTGGACAGTCGACCATATTTATCGGTTTTTGAGAAAGCCAAGACACCCAGAAATCAGCAGAATGAAATCTTCATGTCATTTTCTTGGTATTAGCCAAGTACTTATGGAAATAAAGTGAAGGAGCATAGATACGGTGCCGACTTTTACATAATAATCTTTTCCGTCATATTTTCGTTCTGTATGCTCGCCTAGCGGAGCATTTTGTTTGGCGTTGAGATTTTTGAATAGAATTATATACGAAGGCAGAGTGGTCTACCTCAGTTCTCCGATGTATTTGTCCTGTATGGCTTACAGCTGATTAGGTATACCATACCACGTCTATTACAAACGCAGTCCCTACTGTTAAGGTAAATCAGGCAATTTTTTTCCTATTGAGACCATCACACAATTAGTGGCGAACCAAGCATCTTGGAGCTTTTGGAG